ACTATTTTTTTTCAATTGCTTTTTTTTTATGTAAAATATGTAATAAATGGATCACAGCATAAGATTATAAATAACGATATTCTTATTTTTTTCCTTTTTAAATATATATACCAATAATAATCACTCTTAATTCTATCCAATTAAATTCAAATAAAAATTCGAATATATTTGTAAAACTAAAGATAATATAATACATATATATAAGAAAGGTTTGTAGTTTTTTATGCAAACAATTTCCTTATTTGTATTTCTTTGGTCAAGATTGGCAAGTTTTTTCATAACGAACTGAACACAGACCTTCCATCCAAACTTAACTTAATGTTAAAAATTAAGTCAAATCCCCATTGATACAATGCAACATCAAAAATATACCATTTTTAATCAGCATTCAGGCCTTTCTATTATGTATTTAGACCCCACAAATAAAATCATGAAAGATTGGTTACAAAGTCCAAACAGAATCCCTAGATGTCATCAACTTGCATATTTTCTTAATAAGACACCAAATGTGAAATCCCTCTTTCCAAGGAATTTTTCTCTTTAATCCCAGTTGTTTGAATTTCAGTATAGACCCAACAGAACGTGATAAATATTTTATAGAAAGCAAATCAGAAAGTTGTGGTGCATTTTTCACCGAGTTAATATCAAGCTTAATTTACACCCTCCAACAGGAAAAACAGCAAATTCATTTCACTCCCTTTGGGATTTTATTATCAGCAAGTCACTACAAGTATTTGGAAAATATTCTAATGAAATGCCAATAATGGAATTTGGTTGTAAAAGTTCCAAATATACAACCACAGGTAGGTTCATTAAAATAATTAGCTTGATAAATAGAAATATATTATTACTAATGAAAGGTTTTATAGGTCAAAATCAACCAGATTTTGCCTTATTTATAAGAAACATTTGTGCTGTTTGTGGAGAAGAGAAAGGAGAAGTTGAAAAAGGAGATCCTGCTAGGGAATTGGTTGACAAATTCAATAATTGGGATTATGGAGACATTCCATATCTTTTTGGATACTATGCCAATGCTACTGCTGTTACCTTTTGTGTCCTGTATATTAGTGAAAAAAATCCCATTAATATTAACAGTCAAAAGATAAAGCATCCAGATATTTGTAGTGAGAAACTTGCAGAATTTGATTTAAATAGATTAACACAGATTCAAGCTAATGAATTTAATTAAAAATATGTGTAGGTTCTTTAATGTCTTGATTTTCAAATCTCTCATTAGAAATGTTAATTTACTTTATAAAACTTTAGGCCACATACTAGTCATCAGGAAAATGGGTACAAATATTATGCGTATATAATATGCAATTGCAGGGATTAAGCATATAATATATGT